TTTAATTATAATAAATGCGTTTTTCTAAGATACATAAACTTTTGGGATTGACTGTATAGCCAATACATCCTTAACACTAGATGTACCAAGGGAGGTCAAAATGACTTGTTTGGAATTTCTCATAATCATTATTAATTTTCAGTACATTTTGTCTCCTAAAATTTTGTACGTCTTGTTAATTTGGAAAACAAGTAATTTTGACCCCTTCAGTAGAAGTGGGTGTACGTCGATCGCCGATAGTTCTAGTGTTAAGTCTCATTGAATTACTGACTGCTGATCTGCTTGATACGAAACGCCTGGGAAACATATTTTATGTTCGACCGAATACTCGCCTCGTTGGACGATTTACGTTCCAAAGAGTGATTCATCGAAAATATTCGGAAGGAGATTTCCAGGATGCCTTCTTTACCGTAACGAGCACTTGACTCGGATCATTAGTGGACGTTACCGAACGACGAGACGAGGGAGGTCCGCGTTCACGAACAAATCGGCGATAAAGTCGGTCTGAACGTTTGATAATCTCATTTGCCGCGTCGGTGAGACGTGCCTAGCTTTTTTCGCGCACGGATTTATGAACGTAATTTCCCGTCGCGTCGGTTACGGACGTCGGCACGCGTGACGAGCTCGTGACACAGGCCGAGTCGGATACGATTTCGAAAACAGATGCGTTTTACCCGCTCCTGTCTGTCCTGCTACCGGATTTCCGGCTATTCTTTCCAGATGGAAATTGAACGCCTGCCTCTTTATAAGCAATCGACAATTCGCACGCTGTTACAGCGTTAGTGTGTATTAAAGATTTGTATTATAGATTATAGATGTGTGTATACTGATTAATTAAACAGTTCATTTGATATTATTCATTTGCATCATGAATCCACCTCTGAGAGAGAAACAAATCAGGAAACGTCGAGATGGGCGACACTGATAAAAACATATTTGACTCGAAAGCGAAGCGTTGTAGATTTAGAAAACGGCTCTGCCGTCCGATCGTTCGTTTCACATAAAGTATCCGTGGAAATAAATGAATCATGAATTACTGGCAGCGAAAACCGCGAAGCTACCAGTCATCGTCATCGTAAGAACATCGTTAAAGAAACAGGGTTCAAAGCGTCGCGTCGCACAAAAGGGCCAAAGGGGTAACACGATCCTGAGTTATTCCTTCCTACGGTGAATCGTTCCCCGGTGCAAGACGAATGCGAGGTGCGGGTAAGTACGCTGGGAACAAAACCATCGTGTCCCTTGTTTTTTTCCTTCCTCTACCATCGTCCCACGACTCTTTCATCGAAGATACGTCGGTTCGCAGCTCCGAACGTTCATGTCATGATTATACGGTTCGTTGTCTCGTCACTTCTTCGCCTCAGAAGTGTTCTAGGATGGAGAAGGAGGAGGAGAAATCATTGGGATTCTTTATTTATACACATTCTTTTAACATTACAATATAAATAATTGTGCGACAACTGGGCTCGGAGTCTAATTTATTCAATTTCAAAAACGAATGTTACATCTCATCGACTCGAGTATTAAGCACGCCTCTCGACGACGTTTTAATACTCGACTTCCTGCCTTTATTACACATAGTAAAACCCCACGGGTGTCCGAGTAAATATTTTATAGCACAGATTTCCGCGATTTAAATTGCATTCGTTTAGGTTCGATCCGGTATGCCTGGGAAACTCGAGCCATCGCGTCGCGACAGACCAATAAAATCGAAAGGAATTCGGTCTTTAGTCTCAACGTCAAAAAACCGTATGAAACGATGCACGGTGCTATACTCACGTGTTTCGCGAAAGATTCGCGGAGACACAATCCTATGACGAGTATAAGAAGCACCGACGACCTGAAACAGAACAAGAAATACTTTATCAGAATTTGTAATCTAATTAATTATTTCATATGATAAAACTGATATTCTTATAGATTAACGTCCATGGAATCAACAAATATTATTTAGTTCTAAGCAACATTCGTTGTTCTATCTTGATTGTCAACACTACGCATTAAATAAGACGAGACGCCGTAAGAAGCGTAATACATGGACGTTAAAACGACTGCGTGAATCCATTCACGTCCCATTTCCCTACGGAATCACGTGTCCAGCCGGTACGAATCAATCACCGGGCTCTACCACCGGCAATTAACCGACCAAGAAACCGCAAGCTAATTACAAGCCGCGCGGCCACGTTTTCCACGATAAATCAAACGCAACGGAACCCAGCGCGGCGGCGGTGGCGGCACGCGAGCCACCGGCGCGACGTTACATGGCACGAGACTCGAGGAAACTGGTCGCTCGCCGACTACATTGACCCAGACTTTGATTCTTGCGTGAACGCCGGGACGAGTTTCACCGCGAACTTGTCCCGCAACTTGTTACGTCAAGGCCTCCCGGCCTAGACAGTTACGCCGTCGTCACGCCGAACCAGCATTCGTCACCGTCTCGTCACGTTTCAAATAAAACAGAAACGGACCGAGCGGTGACGAAATTTTATGTCGAAATGGATGACGGCGTTTCGTTCGTAAAACGAGATCGATCGAATTTTAGAAATTCAGAAGCCATACGTTCGCGTTTCGATGTAGATCGGTAACTGGAACGATCAGACGACGACGCGTTTGACGAAAGTGGAACGCGGTGGATGCACCAGTCGATGCTCTCTCCCATGGACGCGAGATTTATAGAGATCGTCGCAACGAACCGTCACGCGGCTCCTCCTCGTTGTTCGATAAATTATTTCGCAGCAGCTCTCACGGTATTTACATGCGAACACGCTCCCGGCTTCGACCCTATAAATCTGACCGGCTGTCTGAAATTCTATGAATTAGTCGCGCGACGCGATGCCGCTACTTTCGCGGCTGATTTATATCGGTTTGTATCACTAGCCCGGGAACCAGTGGTACGTACGCACGCTCGGTCAGCCGCGATCGCCCGGCCGAAACTCATTGCATTTTTCCATGCTCTTAAAAATTATTATATGCGATAGTTTATCAAAATCATGTGATCAGACGCTAGACGCGTCTGCCGATGAATTTTATTTCTTATTTAGGGAAAGAGTTTACCTCGTAAACGTATCGAACGGAATGAAAGACTGAATTAAATAAACGGCAAAATTGAAATGATTCAGTTTGTCTATCTCGGGTTTCGTTACCTGTGCAATCAGATCGCGATCGTTAAATAATTGATCGACGTGTTTATAATGATAAGGGAATCGAAAGTCTGATAAAGTCATTCACCAGGGGATCGAGTCGATCCAACACTGGACGTTCGTACGCAGTGGTTCGACTGTCGCAGTAACACGGCGAGCAAAAAGCGGTCGGGTGCACCTTGAACGGTCGTCGTCGAAACGTGAATGAACGCGTTTTTCTGCGGCATCGGCGTGCGAGTGGGCGTCGTTCAATGGTTTGGAACGTTGCCCGAGAATCGGGTCGAATCGAATAGGACGAAAAAGAGAGAACGCAGAACTTACTAGTCATCGATACGGAAGACATAATATTTCGGTGAAAAATGGTGCGATGCCTGGCTGCTATTGATCAGAGAACAATGCGAGGCGGCGCGTTCGCCCGTTCTAATGGTCCAAGCGACGATCTTCCCCGGCTCAGATATAAATTGCTGAAAGCACGATGGACCGAACATGGCATCCGTTTCGCCAATTATTTTTTCCAGCAAATCATCGTAAAAAGGGCTGATTAATAAATGAATGGAAATTGGCATTTCTGTTCCACGACCCTAGACCGAATAGCCAATCCTCAATTTTAAGTGCACTAATCTATTGTAAAAATGGTTAAATTTTGATTGATAAATGAATGAAAACGATTGTTGGCATTTTTATTTCACGATCGTTGACCAAATTCTCAATTCTAAGAATGGCCACTTGAAACCATTGTCGATAATTAATTGAAATGGAACAGACAAATTGGGTTGAGAAGGTGGGAGATGAACACAAAGGTCACATAATTGTTATTCTCCGTTGGCAAATACGAGGGAAAAGTGATTTTGCTAAGTGTAACACAGTTATCTCGGTACATAATTAATCGCGAACAGGCCGAATTGACTCGACCGAATCGAATATATATTCCAACTGAGAATCCCTCTAGGGATCAAAAGTTTACGGTTTGTCGGTCCGCGGGTCACAACGACGTGGCCAGCATCTTTCAGCTTTCCAGAGCAGGTGGGTGCCGAGCTCGCAAGCGTCCGGCAGAGCGACTGCGAAATTCGCATCGAACCGAGAAGGGATTCGGAACGACATGAATATGTAAAGCGAGCGACCCTGCTTCCAGAACGCTTCTAACGAGGACCTCCTACAGAACCGCGGCTTCGTTACAGGCGACAACTTCCACCGTACGATCCAGAGACCCTTGCCGAGGTTAGAACAATTACACCGATCCCCTGAGACCCGTTTTAGACGCTGCTACCGAATTTGACAACGATTCGCCAGGGATAGTTCATTAAGCCACTTATAATATGCTCTTTGCTCGTTAAATCTATCTATGAATCTCATCTTCATTTAGAGGATCGAATGAATTAAGATGGCAATTCTTCGATCTCCATATTATTCAATGAAATTGCGTTCGCTACGTTGAAACAGTTTTATATCTAATTTACAAAGCATGAAATACGAGCATCTCTTGCAATAATGAGTGAAATACGATTTCTCTCTGGTCTGAATCCGTTCGATTCGCATAGAAACGCAAGTCAGCAGTCTATTATTAATAGTCAACTAAACGAGTCGAAACGCGATCGGTCGAGCAAGCAACGAGTGATCAGATAGTGCGATGCACTTTCGCGTGCGCATACCCTGCCAATTTTTGCGATAGTTTCGGTGCATATCGCCCGGCCACTAATGAGCCCCGGGATTGTGTACGATCCCATCGCGTATACGTTCGGTTCCCTCCTCTCCTACTATCTTTTATCTAGATTCTATTCCGGCCGGAGCGGGCAATTTGCGGTCCTGGCGTATCCAACTTTCGCGTGGCCGACTGAAAACGTGCCGCGATGTTGACGAGTTTCGGGCCCGCTGCCGGATAACGAGGAGAACGTGGCTTCGATTCATTAGCGTCTCCCTTTGAACGGGATCGATCGGGCAAACATTGGTACGTGCAATGAGAGACCGTGTCGATTAATTGTAAATATGTTTGCCGAGCAATTGTACGAGCCCGCAAATTGAGTATCAAAAATGTTCCACGAACAAGCGTCAAATCCGACGTATTTCATTTCGTCCTATTCGTACTTTAATACATTGCATTTAATGCATTACGTAGATCACTTTTGTACTCGTTGATTTTAATGCATGAGAACGTGCGTGCGTCAGTGATCGAAAGGAAGAAATCGAAGTTCGGTTCGGCGCGATCGAGCGGCGAACGGAGCTAAGAAGACCGCCGACTGAGAATCGAGCGATCGGCACCGCCGCCAATTCGTTAATCATAAATATTCAAGAGTCAATTAACACGGCCGCGCGGTGCGGTCCGGGTCAATTAATTATCGATCTCCATTACGCGAGCGTAATGACCTATTAACAACGCTCGAGATCCTCCGTCGGCACCGAAACTTCAGTTTTAACGCCGTGATTCACCGACGCTCGCCTCCAAGGTTCATCGAATCGAACGCGATCGATTCGATTCGTAAATGAAATATAATAAATGTTTCACGTACGGGGAATCGGACGTGATTTATTCATAGGTTAAATCAATTCGTAAATGTATGGATTTAATCATAGAGTGGATGATTTATGCATGTATTAATTATGGATTAAATCGTCCGATGATTACGTGCGATCAGTGGACTTTAGTGGTTACACGTGCATGTTTAATCGTACAGTGAATCGAATGCAATTTATGCATGTGTATGTCGAGTCGGAAACTAAGAGATGTAATAGATAGTCGCACGTTTCACTGAGTACAAGACGAAATAACGGTGCGATTCACTGTTATTTCTCCTGATTACATTCGTTTTTCAAAACTATGTCGAATTACGTCGATCGAGACTCCAGTTCTGCCTGATAAAAGCGATTGTGCAAAACTACATGTTTCTGTCCCGTTCATCGAACGCAATTAAGAGTCGCGTTTTCGTCTGTGGTGCGTTTGACGCAAACGCGTAATCGGAGGTATGATTTTCGTGGCCCGTTGAACACGTGCACACGTAATTCGAGCGTTCGACTGACAAGACGTGTAATTTTCACGATTGCGAGAGGGGAAACCGATCCGTTCTTGCTGTTCCCCAGGATGCAGTGTAATTACCGTGGACAATGCTGGCAGGGTGCTAACAGCCACGAAATAAGAGTTATGAATCATGCTCGATATCGTGCAATTTGCACGGGAACGCAGAGGTACGCCGACCTCGTGAAAGTTATCATTGCTTCCAGACGGCCGGCCTCGGTGTTCTTCATTAGTACATACGCGGATCATCATTATGTGTACGCCTCGAATCTCGTACGAGAAATCGTGGCAGGGAGAAGCGTGCACTGTCATCAAAATTCGTTTCACGGTGCGAATTTCGCAGCGAAAAAATTCGACTCGCGATTTCTCGGTGCTTATCTCTCACCTGCGTAATCTCTTCATTACACGGCTCGACTTCGGTGTCCAATTACTCGATTTCGAGCGGGGGATAGGTCCTGTTCGAAAAGGAGGAGCGCGAACCTCGGGCATCAGCCGGTTTATCCTCGCGAGCATCTAGCCGGCGCGGCGGTTCTTGGGAACGTGCCAAAAGGAGATGGCTGGAATTATGATGCCTCGTAAAATTACGGTTTAGAACTGCCCCTGGCCCTCGAGCCTCGAACATCTCGTACGATCCGGCAACGATTCGAACTTTACCATCTCCCGGTGTGCACCTGCAGATTTTAGTCGGAACTCGGTGACCTCGCCGAATTCAGTTCGGACTTTATTCAAAATCAGAGATTCTCAATGTCATACGTTGATTAAATTGCCTTTCTATGTTCCTTGAATTTTGTGATACCGTTTGAAGTTCACGACCGACGTGGCATCGATCGATGCGACTCGATCCTCTCGTGACACAATCGCATTAGGATCGGCAAGGACGTAGCTGTAAGTCAGAAACGGGTATCACTCGAACCGCGGCGATCCACGAATCCTCGAGAATCGGCTAATAAACGAGCTTCGTTACGACGAAGCCGCTTAATTGAAAGCTGAAGTACATGACCATCGACCACACTACTCTCGTCCCGTTCCAAATCGGAGGATCCCGGAGGATCGATCGCCCGATTCCACCTGTCTTTCTTAGACGCGAACGATCCACCGTAGAAAGTCGCTTTTGGCCTCGTCAGTTTTCAATGTTTCAGTAAAATTATTGTCAGATATTCGGTTTTTAAATATGAGCTAACTTTGTTCGAGAAGAATCGAGATCCCGCTCCTCGGGGTCCGTCAACAGGTAAGAAAGCGAGCCCAAAAAGGAGCAAGAACCCTTTGGACGAAGTCTGTTCCAATAAAACCTTGCCCCGATGATTCTATCTTTCGAGCCAGCCAAAAATGAAACAATACTTTTACTCGATGAAATAGATCGCTCGCAGTTCGATTCATTTTTCGAGACGCTCGTAACAAATCGTCGATCGGCTTCTTAAACGATTCGAAGATTGGACGCGGATGATAAATCTCACGAAAACACGATACAGGCGGAGTTATCGCGAAAACGAGGAAATAATTCGGTAGCGGTGATGGGAGGAAACGATTTGTCAAATCCACGACGACTCGAAACCGTTCTTAAATCCATCGGAGCTCGGGGACTGATGAATTTCTGATTGCGACCGGTCGCCCAAGGACTTCTGCAAATTAACTTCGTCCCTGATATTCTTCCGTCTCGATCCCTGAGGAAACTTGAGAGGCAGTTTTCGTTTAGAGAAAACACTGATCATCAGTCTCTCTCTCTCAAGAAATGAACGGACGTCGTATCGAGGCTGTCCACAATATTTTCACCGCGACAAAAGGGAAGAAATGGAGACGAGCCAGTGGCATTGTTGCCCGTTGCCCGAGACAAAGAAACCGATTGCAAGGGTTCTCTTTTTTCTATATACCGATGAAAGGGTGATCCTTCTCTCAGTCCCTGTCGTCGCAATTTTACTTGGACCGATGAGACCTACCATCGTTATTTCCCTTTGAGCATCCTTTCGCGAATCATCCCGTCGCCGAAGACGACGTTCTCCCCGGAGAACGATAACGATGGATCTCGCGTCGGTCGATAATAATCGTGGATGTTCCAACTAGCCAAGTAAACGCGTCTACGCGATTGTTCCGAGAGGTACGCGGTTTCAAGATAATAATGCATCGTACCTATTGTAATCTACTGGCACGACTCGGCTCGCGAATTCTATGGATCGCGCCCTGCGTACTAATACGGTTCGTTCATTGTGTCCGTCGTTTGTTTCGTGGCAACGGTATATCGTTACACGTCGACGCATTTAGTTCATCGTGTAACGCTTGATTATACCGTGTCGAATAGTTCCCCAAAAACCGTGTGTACGTCTGCGTGGAACCGTCGTTCGTAGACCCAGTGTCGAATTGCTCGAGCGACAGATGAACTATTACGATGTCATGTGACTAACGATCAATCGACAGTTTTCATAGTAAGTATTGTAAATGAAAATGAACGTTTTGTCGTCGAGCCAATTATCGTCGATTAACGGGCGAATGAACAAACGCGACGCTGGGTAATAAAATCGATCTGGCGTAGCGTTCATTAGGCGTTACGAGCGTTCCCATTATACTGTCGGAATTATACGGCCGCTTTTGTAATAGCGTTCACTCACCAAACGAAGAGGTGCATTGCGGCTAACATTACTCACCGGGTTCGAGAGCACGTCCAGTTTCGCGCTCGGCCGCCGTAAAAACAAGTGTCTCGGCCACGGGTCGCATGAAAGAGAACGGAAAACAAAAGGACGACCGGTACCTGCAAATTCTGGCTCGGCCACCTACGCTCAACAGCTCTTGCCAAGATATCGTCGAAGGCCAGTTTTATTTCCCACCGTGTTCCGTCTCCGATTGAAATATGAAAACTGGCTGAGAAAATTCTACGCAACCGGAAACGTATGCTCGATCGTGTATCTTAAAAACCGGCGTTAAAGCAAAGTAATTTGGACACTTGGCTAATTTCGTTCACGAGTCGCAGCAAATTCCAGTCCATTTTACTGCTCCTTGGAACGAGGTTTACGGTCGCGAGTTAATGGCCAATTTTTGGCACGGCGCCGGCCTAATTAAAGTAAAAGAACGAATTGAAACGGCGTTGAATCGTCGCGTGTATACCAGACGAATTAAACAGAACTTACTGTATCAAATCTTGGCCATGAATCGTGATAATTGAGAGGACGAAGGATTAAGGAGGACGAACGAAATCGTGGAGAGAATTCTCGTCTACGTTCCAACAATTTTAACCACGCTCACACGGTATATCAAATTCCCCTCTTTTCACTCGTCACGAAAATTGTCGAGGGTATTATGTTAAGCGCGCGAAAGGAGAAAAAATTGCGGGTCGCGTAAACGGCGTCCCCTATCAGGACCGTTGTCCCTGAGAGAACCTCGTGGAACGGGGAAGAAGAAAAATGAAACTGCGTGAAAGGGAAAAAATAGAGGAAGAAGATCGTCGGCTGTCAAGGTAGTCGCTGGACCCTTTACCTCTGCTAGAAGCTAATTGGGCCGGGTCAGCCGTACAGGCCGACGCAGAGAAATGATCTTGAAGAATCATGTATAATCATGTATTTAAAAATTATTGTTCTACCGATTGCAATCGAAATTACGCTTGCATCTCTTCAAAGTAATAAAATAATTCTATCGGTTGCGTTATAATATTTTTTGGAAGTGAATTTTCATGTTACGCTCAAGCGTCACGTTTGAATTTCTACATACTGTAAATAAATCCGCTGGTTCGAAAGCGTATCTGCTGATGTAATAACAAAGTCGGTCTGTTTAAATATCGGCGAAACATGGGGTTCAGGGTCTGTGGGACAGACTGTAGGTGGAACAGGATCCTATCGACTTCCCGAACTCCCTGTTCAAAATGTATTGGTCGGCTAACGCAGCTCGAGTCCCCCGCCAGTCGTTTTTCGCTAACCCTTTTGGCATTCCTGTGTCCGAGAAAGGGACCCTCTCTTCCTAGTTTCAGTGAGCAAAAATTTGCTACTCGTTGTGACCGATTTTATACATACTATAGTAGGACAAATATCTTTCAAACGTTTGCTAGATGAATTCTAATGAGAGGAACCCAGTGAACGATTTTATGAAACGTTAAGACAAAATCAACTGCTTGTCTTTAAATTCTCATGTGAAGAGTAAAAATTACGCGGTCACCTGGTATAAAAGTTGTAATTAGTGTTTAAGTATGTATTGGCTATACAGTCAATCCCAAAAGTTTATGCGCTTTAGAAACGCATTTTTTAAAAAGAAATCAGACGTCGGAGGAACATTGCTAATAATAAACGACAAAAAAAAATTTTCGATTTTTCCGAGATTTTTCCAAGGGGTACCCCTTCAGATTTTGCGAAATTTTCGTTTTTTGCCAATAACTCCCAAACCGTTGAATCTACG